ACCTGCCGTCGCGATTCTCCCTCCAGTCATGAGTGACGGCGGACGAGACAGGATTGCTCCCCGTGACTCTGCAGGTCCTGCAGCCCGGGTACCTCAGCCTCGTCGCACTCTGTCCACGAGTTGGAATGTCCCCCGAGGCTTAGGGGAAGCCGTTATGACCAGTATCCACTCACAGAGGAGCAGGGAGATGGGCAATCGCCTACCGCCCGAGATTTTCCTGCATCAGAACGGAGTCCTCAGAGGATGCCTCAGATCACGGCCAAGCCCTGTCTCAGGGCTTCACGTCCTGTATCCCCGGCATCCTTGTGCAAGGTCACCTTGAACCTGTTCCTTGTTTGGCCAGATTTGCGAGTGGCTTCCAGCCAAATGCTTGACTCCTCTTCTCCTGGTTATGGTTTCTGAGGCTGGCTCAACACCTTCTGACCAAGACGAGGAGGATCAACACCGGGGCAATCGCCCCATCTGGTGAACTTGCCGGTCTGTCTTTGAGGGAAGTCCCTCGTGTCCAAAGGCCCCAACAGAGGCCTCACATGGTCCCTTAGAGCTGCCTTCGGTTTTCCTTTGCCCTTTTCTCCAGCTGGAGAAAAAGTGGCGATGGTTCCACGCTGTCGTGGCGCCGTGGCCACGGTGGGGTGTGGCTGCCTGGCATTTATGCCTCTTTCTTCGGATAGGAGCCCAATGGCCGGAATTCCTGCTCCATCCTGCCACAGCCTCGAGGGGCCACCTGCCAAGGGGCCTTATCCTGGCCAAGTGAGGCTAACCAGTCACTTCCTATTGGGCAGAATGTTTGGGCTCACTCATTCATTCATTCCTGTGGCAGACCCCACAGCATGGGCTAATGAAAAGATACTTGTATCTGGGACTGGTTGGGTTCAAATCCTGGCTCAGCCAGTTCCTAGGTGTGTGTGGCAGGTTTTATTTCTGTTCACAATTATTTGGTGAAACATCCCTGCCCCACTCACTTGGCGCCGCTATATGACTTGCCTTGGCTACTCCTCAGAGAACTCAAGTATCCCACCTGAGGTCACACAGCCTGTAAGTGGGGGAGTTGGGATTTGAACCCTTCCACCTCACACCATGCTGACTCCCAGTGCCAGCCCCCCGTCCCCACCAGTGGGTCCAAGGGCCCCCCCACCCCCACCCCTGCAAGCTCCATCTAGGTGTCAGCCTGCTCTGGCAAAGCACATCCTAGAGGCATTTGTGTTCTCCACGTGACGTCTGCCAAACCCAGAGCTATAATGGCAGGCCCATGGATGGTGGCGCCAAGCAGGGGTAGAAGGTTCTAGATGCTCTGTCACTGCCTTGGTGTTAGGCTGACGCTGCTTGTGGCCCAGCCCTTCCCCAGACCAAGGATGGTCTCCCAGGACTATGCAGAGTAGCCATCATCATATTAACAGATGACATGGTGATGAGCAGTTTGCGCCTCACCTCCTTTAGTCCTCCTATAAATGTGGGGGGTAATGCTGTGGTCTGAATGTTAGTGTCCCCCTAAATTCACATGTTGGAATCCTAACCCCTGCATTGGTATTAGGAGGTGGGGCCTTTGGGAGGTGCTGAGGTCACGAGGGTGGATTAGGGCCCGTATAATGGAGACGCCACAGAGCTCCCTGCCGCTTCCACCGTGTGAGGACACAGCGAGAAGTCTGCAACCAGGAAAGGCCCCTCACCCGAGCCTTCAGGCACCCTGAGCTCAGACTTGCAGCCTCCAGAACTAAAAGAAAGAAATTTCTGCTGTTCATAAGCTACCCAGCCTGTGGTATTTGTGATGGCAGCCCAGCCAACTAAGACAGGTAAGCAGGGGTATCGTGGCCCTGGTTTACAGAGGAGGAACCTGGGGCTCAGAGGGGTGAGGGGTGAGCCAGACCACCTGGCTGGTCACCTCCGGCCTGACTCAGCTGAGCGCAGAGCCGCCTCCTGTCCCGTGATGAGTCATCTCCTCCCAGCCGATTTGGCTTTTGGTTCTTGTTTTCTCCCTTTTTCTCTGACTCACTAAGAACCCGGGAACAGGAAGCAGCGGGAGACTGTGATGAGGACAACCCATCCTGGGACGGGGGCGGCACCCTGGAGCTGGCCCCCCTTTCCAGCCTCAGAGCCCCTGGAGAGTAAACGTCCATCGGGAGGGCTGGGCAGGGTTGAGAAACGCAGCCTCCCCCAGGGGTCAGTCAGCTAGGAGCAGCCACCTCCGGGAGGACCAGGAATGCCCTCTGCAATTATGGCTTGTTTTACTGTCGATGGCCTCTGCCCCGCCCCCTCTCACCCCTACACTCGCACAGGTCCCCTGAGCATGAGGGCGCCCAGGGGCCTCGCACAGCGCCCGGTCCCAGCAGGTGTGGTGCTTCGAAAAGAGTCACAGATGTCTCGGCACAGTTCCCATGGAGAGGTGGAGATCAACATCCCTTCCCTTGAGTTGAGGGGGCTTAGGACCGCTTCCCCAGCAGAGTCCAGTGGAAGTGCTGCCCTGTGACTCCTGAGGCTTGGTCAGAAAAGGCCACGCAGCTTCCTCCTGGTCCTCTGGGGGAAGCCAGCCTCCATATAACAAGTCCGACAACCCGAGACCGCCAGGCCGGAGAGGCCACGCTGGGTGCTCCCACCCAGCTGAGCAGCATCAGCTGCCGCCACGTGAAAGGGCCAGCTCGGACATCCAGCCCAGGCGATCTGCCCGCAACCAAATGAGAGACCCCGCCAGCCAGAATCGCCCAGCTGAGCCCTTCCTGAACTCCTGTCCTTCCAAATGAAGGGCAAGGTGGAATGGTGGTTGTTTTACACCGTTCGATTTTGGGTAATCTGGAACAGCTGTTGGATGACCAACATGTAAGGTACTTCAAAGCGTGTCTAAGCAAAGACTCGGGTACCGAGGCTCCATCCCACCCCCACCAGGCCCTGACAGAGGCCAGATCAGGGCCTCCAGGCCTCGGGCGGAGACAGGAGCAAGTGGAGGCAGCCCAGGCGACATTCCAGACGCCCACTAGGTGCCCGTTACGGGGGATAAAGAGGTGACAAAGGAGAGGCCTCTCTCTGCCCTTGAAGCCTCGCGGTCCACCAGCCGCCCTCTGAATCCCAGCAGAGGCCTGAGCCGCAGCTTCCCATCAAAACCAAGCTGCTGGCACACTAACCCAGCTCCACCCTCCCTGCCCTTCCCCTCAGCAAACGTCCCCAGGGAGCCTTTGTCCTGGGTCCCCTTGTCCCTCCACCCTCTTTGCCCACTTCACTTCTCTCCTTCGGTTCTCAGCTCAGGTGTCACCTCCTCAGGGAAACCCTCCTTGATGCTCCTGACCAGGCCCAGTGCCTTGTAATTTTCTCTCCTAGAACCTGGCTTTTCTTCCAGAGGGGGCTTACCCTCATCTATAATTGTCCCAAGTTCTCTAACTGGAGCTCAAAGCCCATAAGCTGGGAAGCCAGAGACCTGTTTTAGGTGTAGGAAAAAACTGGGGCATGCAGAGCTAACAAGACCTAGTGGCAGGCATGATGTAATGAGAACCGAGCCCGTACCGGACACCCTCAGTCTCGCTGCACTGTAAGCCTGCCCACCTATCACAGTAGGTAATACTGTTGCCCGTTTTGCAGATGAGGAAACTGAGGCCCCGACAGGTTAACTAACTTGCCTAAAGCCACACAGATGTGCGCAGAGGAGCAGGTATTAGAACCCAGACGTGGCTGGTGTGGAGCAGCATAATCCGGGCCTTGCCCACACCTTGCAGGATCCTTCCTGCTCTGATTTTGGTTTCTGCCCCCTCCACGCGCCCCCCGCCCACCCTGCCCCACACTCGGCTCCTCCAAACCCAGCCCTCTGTGGCTCTGAAGCTCCTCCAGCCCGACTCTGAGTCCCCACTGGGTCTGGCGGGCTGGAAGTCCAGTTTTTAAGTTCTAAGACAACCTCGGAAAGCATGTCATGGCCCAGCTGAGGGGGGCGCTTTCTCTCAGCTTTTCCTGAAGAGACAGAGTGGAGAGCTCTGCCACCTTCTAGCTGGGTGGCCTCAGTGAGTCACTTTGTCTCTCTGAGCCTCAGTTTCCATAAATGGGAATGCAAACAGCACCTACTTCGTAAGGTTGTTGTTAAACATTAAACTACTGAATATCAACGTGCCTAGCCCCCAGGAGCTCCATAAATGCCTATTAAATCTGAACATGACAATTGCCTTTGTCTTTACAGTAAAGAAAGAAGCTTTATAACACAAAGCAGACAAACTTGTTTTTTGAAAAACAAAACAAACATTTATTTCTGTAAACTGTTTGAGTGCAGATGTTCCTGGCAACCCCAATACAGCACAGATCTCCCCCAATGAAGTGAGCAAGGAAAAGAAGAGAAAGAACCATACAAATGTGCTCATGAAGAACCAAGCTGATCTCATCTTTCTTTGGAAAAAAAATCCTTTTGAATGTGTGGTGCAGACCCAGGATTAGAACCACAGATGCTCTGGTCTGCGAGGGCGGGGCCCCCGCTCCACACGGCCGGGGTGGCAGAGCAGCCCTCGGCCCCTGCTGTCCTTGCTGTCGGCAGACCTTCCCGAAAGTAAGGAATCTGTTCCCAGCTCTACCTCAATCCCATTCCGCACCCCGGGCCTCTCTCCCTAACAGCCTTGTCACTTTGGGAGCCCCTGAAGTTAACCTGAAAGACTCCTCTTGTCAAATCTGGACTCGTTCCTTTGCCCCACTCCATGCCATAGTGAGACACCACCAAAAGGGCGGGAACGAGCCATTTCAGACCACGTGGCCAAGCCACTGCTGGGCAACGTTTAAGGCAAATTTTCTCTCCTCTCTTGGTCTGAGTCAGGCCTGAACGTCTCCCCACCCAGCACCGGCTCTGTTGGCCATGTAGCTCAGGCAACTTTGATGGGGTGGGGTGAGGGACTCGGGGGCACACTCTGAGAGTCAGAGCCTGAGAATGGGAGAAATGTATGTGCTCATGAAGGCCGGCGGCGGCGGGGGCACAGCTGGCACCGCTGCCTCCTCAGCGGTCAGCAGGCAGGCACGCCATGGAAAACCAAGATGACGGCACAGACCTAGGTTCCAGAAGCAGCATGAGGCCATGGTGGGCAAGGCCAGGCAGGCTAGGTGCACGTCAGAGAAATGCCAGGAAAAGGGGTCACCCAAGGAGGCGCCTCACATCTGATGATGGGCATGACCTTGGCATCAAAATGATTTTTCTTTAGAACATGAAAGAACGGGCGGGGAGAAAAAGAAGATAAAAGAAAGATGTTCCATGAGCTTCATGATTTAGGACATAACAGGGCTCACAAGGGAAGCAGGGAAGGAAGGGGAGCTGGGGTGCAGACAGGGTGGCGGGCGTTGCCTCTCATTGCGTCTCCTCTCCCTGGTGGGCTGGTGGGCTGGTAGCTGAGGCCGCGGTCCCCTCCCCCGGGGAGCAGGCAGATGACTTTGGCAAGGGACAGGGGGAGGGCTGGGGTTACTCTGTCTGGGCGTCGTAATTGGCTCCCCCAGCCTTCTTCAGCTCGCTTTTGATGAAATCTTCCTCCAGCTCCTTCCGATCACTGATCACAAACTCTTTAGCAAAATTCTGCAAGAACAAAATAAAACACAGAGTTCCTGTTAAGAAGAAACAGGATCTAAACGTTGCTCAGGCAACCCGCCAGGAAGTCTTGGCACCTAAAACACTAAGAAATGATCAAAATGAAAATTTGGTGGCAGAGTGGTTTGGCAAAAAAAAAAAACGCAACACATGACTAGAGATCAGAAAACAGGTAAAGTCGGGGTACTGTGTTGTCCCAAGACCATGGAGATGGGCCAAGGTCAGATCTGGGTTTCAATTCTGGCTCTGTCCTTTTCTGGCTCTGTGACCTTGGGCAAATGCCTTCAACTCTCTGTGCCTCAGTTTCCTTATCTGTGAAAAACCATCTTGTCAGGAGAATAATAGATGAGGTTGGAAAGGCAGGCTAGTATGCTGGTAAATGTTTAATACCAGGCTCTCCAGAACAAAAAGAGAAAAAGGGGAGAGGCCTGCTTTGTAGCTTTTGCCCATTTCCATCATATAAATATTCTCGCAATGATTGGTTGGAGTTGGGAAGAGAGACTTGACTGGCTCTCATAAGCTGGCACAAGCTAGCTTCAGGCACCCCCAGCTGTGACAAGACAGAACTTCTGGTCCCAGGTCTGAGTGATCAGCCTAGGCACGAATGCACGAGAGTCAATACTGGGCCTTCCAGCCATACTCAGTTACTTGAGGGCAGGGGGTTTGTTTGCATTCATTCAGCAAACACCGTGCCATGTGATGGGGCTATGGCAATTAACAAAATGGATGCAGTCACTGTTTCCTCTTGGGGTGCACAGATTTCAGCCATAAAACCCCCCAGGCCTGGCAAACAGGAGGCTCTGGGTAAAAGCTTGTGGCATGAATGAGCAAAGCAGGTGATCTGGCTTATCAGATGACCCCGAGCCATGAAGAATAACAGTTATTTTAATCCATGGATCATAAGACTTCTATAAACAAGGAAAATTTGAGGATGGGAACAGATAAGAATATAGAGAAATCTACCAAAATATGAATAACAAGTCTGAAGGTCAGAAAATCATCCACATAAAAAAAAGTCCACAAGGAAATCATGTAAACAATGACCCCATTTATTAAGCACCTATTTGTACCGGACACTGCACACATTGGCAAACATCATTCTTTTTTTTTTTTTTAAAGGACGATGGTTATTTTAATAATGAATTTTTTCACAGTATGGTTTTTTGTTTGTTTGCTTTTGTTTTTTTTTTTGTGAGGAGATCAGCCCTGTGCTAACATCCGCCAATCCTCCTCTTTTTTTGCTGAGGAAGACGGCCCTGGGCTAACGTCTGTGCCCATCTTCCTCCACTTTATATGGGACGCCGCCACAGCATGGCTTGCCAAGCAGTGCATCAGTGTGCGCCCGGGATCCGAACCAGCGAACCCCGGGCCGCCGCAGCGGAGCGCGCGCACTTAACCGCTTGCACCACCGGGCCGGCCCCCGCAAACTTCATTCTTAAAACCCTTTCCTGCGACCCAGCAATTCCACTACTATAAATCTACCCAAGAGAAATGAAAGGACACAAATGTTCACAGCAGCATTATTCGTGACAGCGAAAAAGTGGAAACAACCCAATGTCCATCAGCAGGTGAACAGATAAACAAAATATGGTCTATCCATACAACAGAATATTATTCAGCCATAAAAAGGAATGAGGTACTGACACAAGCTACAACATGGGTGAACCTTGAAGACATCATGCTCAGTGAAAGACGCCAGACATAAAAGACCACATATTGTACAATTTCATTTATATGAAATCTCCAGAAAAGGCAAATCCATAGAGATAGAAAGTAGATTATAGTTTCCAGGTACTGGAAATGGGAACAGGAAATGATAGAAATGTTCTAAAATTAGATTGTGCTGATGGTTGCACAACTCTTTAAATTCACTAAAAGTCACTGAATTGTACACTTAGGATGAGTTAATTTTGTGGTATGTAAATGATACTTTGATAAAGCTGTTTTTTAAAAAATCATGTAAAATGATCAATATTATTTCTGTTTTAAAGATGAGAAAACAAAGGCTAAAGATTACAATACCTGCCCAAAGTCACATAGTTGGAAGGTCCAGCTGACTCCAAAGCTGGCATTCTTAAAAGCATCACCATCTCCTTCCATGATGTTAAAAGTATTTTGGAACTAGATAGAGGTGATGGTTACACAACATTGTGAATATACTAAATGCCACTGACTTGTATATTTTAAGATGTTTAATTTTATGTTACGTGAAGTTTACCTCAATTTAACAAAAACAAGAATACAAAAAAAAACTCACCATGCCTCCAAGAAGAATAACTAAACCAGGAGAACACTCAAGGTCAAGTTTTACGTATAAAGACAAACCGTTTGCCATGCTAAGAATACTAACAGGAAGGGGGAATGAGGAGGTTAATATTTATCAAGAAACTAATATGTGCCAGGCACAGCCTCACACATTTTCTCTCTTAATCCTCCCTCAGTATATTGGCTTTTTTTCTTAAGATAAGACCCACGGGTTGGCTTGGAGAGATTGTGTGACTATCTCAGGATGACTCAACATCCTCCTGACCCGTTCTACTCCCATCCCACCATCCTGTGCTGCTAAGTGTCTGTGTATGTCCGCAGTACAGTGAGTGAACACAAGCTGGATGTGAGAGCCAGAAAGAAGAACCGAGAATTAACGTGTTTCTCAACCTGAGCCCCAGTGGCCCAGAGAAGAGGCAGAGCACAGACCAAGGAGGAGGAAGCCCACAGCTCAAAATGCCTATAAAAGGAAGTCCAAAGTTCCTCTGTTTCGTGATAGCTATATATGGCAATCTAAAGAAATAAGAACACTCCTGTTTGTATCTGTTAGCCATTAAAAGATTTAGATTAAGAAGACGTTTGATAAGGTCTAAGAAATTGACAGAGAAACTGTCCATGGAGCTGTGCAAAGTCCAATTTAAAACCACAAGTATATGGGAAATCAAATTATGGCTAAAATAAGGAGCAAGCAGGATAGCAGAATCTGGTAAAAACATAACAATAAACGTAAATGAACAAAATTATCTTTAAAAAAAAGCTATGTCTCAAACTACAAAGAAAAAGCAACCCCAAACCCTGTGCTACGTACAAGAGACATGTTTAAAAACAAAAGATTAGCAAATAAATGAGTCCATCAAACAAAAGTATATAAGAAAGCAACCTCACCCACCCTCCAGAGGCACAAAGGGGCAAGCAGGAGGGCTCCACATGGAGCCCCTCCACACAGAGGATGCTCAGGCATCCCCAGAGGCTTCAAAGGTGAGTCATTGCTTCCCGTAAGGGTGGGGACTCTACAAAAAGTCCCCAGAAGGTCTGAGTCAACCTAAAAACCAACTCACAACAAGCCCTACACTTCTCCACCTCTGTTCCTTCCAACAGACCTCGCAGAGTGGGCCTTCAGCTTGGCAAGGGAGATGCCATCACCCCCCAGGAATGGGCTTCATTGTGTGTTTTCAAAAAGAGGCAGAAACAGCAAAAACAGCTCTGTGGGCAGCTCTGACCTGTAGGCAGCAAGAAGGAGCCTACAAGGACTTGCCTGCGGCTGAAAACCACAAAGAACACTTCTGTGCAGAGCAGGGCCACCTCCTCGCCATGCTCACACCTCCAAACTCTCAGCCACTGTCCCTGGCACCCTCCCCACGCCACCAATCACCTGCTGGGGCAGAGGCAGGCGACACAAAGGCTGCAAGAGTCAGCAGGCAAGTCCTCACTAGGAAAGAGACTTTCAGGGCCCAGAGCAAGGCTAATACATACAGAATTTTTAATTTTCTAGTAGCCACATTGAAAAAAGTAAAAAAGAAACAGATGACATTAATTTTAATAGTATTTTATCTCATTCTATATATCCAAAGTATTGCCATTTTAACATGTAATCAATACACAAAGTCATTAATGAGACCTTCTACATTCTTTTCTCCATGATAAGTCTTAGAAACCCCGTGTGTATTTCACACGTACAACACAGAGCAGCACAGACGAGCCAAACCTCAAGCGCTCGGCAGCCACGCTGGTGACAGCACAGGTCTAGACAGAACAAGAAAGAGTCTGAAAGAACAATATGCTCAATCAAGGAGAATCATTCATCATAAAACCTTAGAGCTGATCTGAGTGGGGGAGGGGGGGCCTTCTGCGGGCGCAGGAAATGTTCCATGTCTTGATCTGGGTGGTGGTTTCACAGGCGGGTATGAAAATTCAAAATTTTAAAATTCAAAAGTTTATCAAGCTATACACCTAAAATGTGTGTTTTCCTCTATGTAAATTATACTATGGTTAACAAAAAAAGTGGGGAAGATGGAACTGAAAGGAAAGAGCCTTTGAAACCCTAACATTCACCCCCTCGTTTGATACAGGAGCAGCAAGAGAGCCAGAGAGGGGAAGCAATTCATCCCAGGGCACCCAGCAGCCTCACAGCAGGGGTCCTGCCAGCCAGTTCTCACCCCAGGTCTGTCCTGTCCTCTCTCCTCTGCATCCCAGACTGCCCATCCCACCCACATCAGCATCTGTCATACCCTCAAGGCTGCCGAAGCCACATGTCAAAGACTTCAAAGCAAAATGTGCCGGTCTGGGGCACTGTCACCTGTGGTTCTGGAAAGCTCTTCTTTGTCTTGTGGAGGAACACGGTGTCCCTAGTTGATAGCTTCCAGACAAGGTCTCTCCCTTTTCTACCACAGCAGGACTTTTCAAAGGAAGAAGAGTTTAAACCCCAGCGTCAGTCCTAAAGCGTTCTGGGAATAGATCTGGACCAAATACAAACAGGGACAGTTGTCCATATGCAACTCCAACAGCCTGACTCTCCCCAGGGACCTCCCTGAGCCTCAGTCTCCTCATCCGCAAATGGGGACAATAAGAGGCCCTACATCCTGGGGTTGCTGTGAGGATCTGATGAGTGTGCAAAGGGCATGACAGTGGATGAGTGTGCCTGGTGCAGAGTAAGTGCTCAAGAATGATTAGGTCGCATCCTAAATGATCCTGGCTTCACCTTCATTCTCAAGATGGTTAGGGGG